GGAATTGACAGAGGACCTCTCAGTCCATGGGATGACAATCCACTGAGCCACACCAGCCAAGCTACTCAACATTTTTTAAAAAGCAAGCATCATTGTCATTATAACACTTGCTAGTAACAAGAAAAAAATGAGACAATATGAATATAAAATATATAATGCAACGTCTATTAATGCCCTGGCAAATATTTATTATATTTATATGTGATGAAAACACATTATTATTATTTTTATCCTCACCTGAGGACATTTTTGCATTTATCTTCAGATAGAGCAGGAGGGAGAGAGGGAGGAAGAGAGAGAAATATCAATGTGAGAGAGACACATTGACTGGTTGCCACCCACACAACCCCAACCAGGGCCAGGGACAAACTGCAACTGAGGTAGGTGACCTTAGCAGGAACTGAACCTGGGACTCTCTGGTCCGCATGCTGACACTCTAACTGCTGAGCAAAACCAGCCAGGGAGAAAACACATGATTATTTAGAAATAAAAATTCATTCCAAGTTGAAGCAAGTAAAATATTTTTACAATCTTAAGTTAAAATCAATCAAGGAATAAAAATGCTAGACACTCATAATCTCATAACAGACATAACTTTTAAAACAAAAAAGCAGACTATCATCAGGAATCCAAGCTATCTTTGCAGAGTAGGAGAAAAATTTACTGAATGTATGAAATTTCCTGAGTGGGACTGAGGGAATTGGATGAAGGTGGTCAAAACGTGTAAGTACTGGGAATGTTAACGTACAACACGATTAATAAAATTAACAGTTTTATAGTATATTTCAAAGTTTCTAAGACAGTTGATTCTAAGTTTTCATCACAAGGGAAATTTTTTTTGGTATCTAGATGATGGACGTTAATTAAACTTACTGTGGTAATCATTTCATAATATGTGTAAGTCAGGTCATTATGCCGTACACCCTGAACTTTAAATATAGCGCTCTACGGCAATTTTATCTCATAAAACTAAAAGAAAAAATGAAAAGAAATTTCCTAATGATCATACCTGGGATCATCTTGCTTTAGGAAAGGTGAAATTCTAATCACATTGGCTATATGTAGGTTCAGATACTGAGGATAGTTTGGCTTAGAAAGTATCCCTTTCAGATAAAAGGCTGAATATCACCTTGTACTTATTAGAAGTAAGCATCTTTAGTTTTAAGATATGCATTTTAATGTTACTAAACTTTTCTTTCATGACCAAGATAAAAAATAATTTAAACAACTACGTACAGCCCTTGCCTCTTATGAGTGGGATGTAGCAGTAAATGTCTCATTAGGAGTAAGTCCTCACTTCTTATGTACTAACTTTGGAGAGGTGAAGTTCTAAGAAGCAGAGGCCTGTTTCTGAAAATAGTAGCACAGAAAATGACTGTTAAAAGATGAAGCCTGGGTACCAGGCTGGGCAGTGCTTACTGATGTATTGCGTTCTCCCCTTAAACTGGCATTCTGAGATGAAGCTCTGTGCCTCCTCTCTCCATAGCAAGAGGCTGTGTTAGAGACCTCAGCCATGATCCAAGAAAAGCTACTGCTCTCACATCCATAGCTAGTCCCATGCAGTTTGGAGAGAACTGTTCTATTCCGAGACCAAATTAATGGAAAAATGGTCTTTGCTTTTCTGCCAATTACTTCCTTCCAAAAGAAACTTTTTAAAGTCTTGAAATAAAGAATTTTATTTTTTTCAGTTTGCCCACACCCGAGGAGAGTTGTAAAGAATTGGTTTCTAATGCCAAAAGAGGCTCATGCTTGAGTGCCTAGAACTGCTAAGATATTTTAGCGTTCAAGCCATGTTGTCTTGAAAGGTCTCAGGAGGAATATACATGGATCAATACAGATTTCAAAGAATGTAACAATGTTGATGAATCTTTCCTAATCCAGGTATCTTATCAGCTGTTCTTGATTAAACCTCATGTCATCTGAGCCAGGAGCCTCCTTTATTGAAGTGTAGAAACAAGGGGGCCATCTGCAAAACCTCTACTTATACCATCCACTTACCTGTGCCATTGGTTAATGCAATATGTAGAGATCTATGCTGTTGGATTGCCCAGAATAAACCTTCATTGATAAAATTGATCTGATGGTTGGTTTGATAAATTCAGAAAAAAGGTAGACAATGTTGTTTTTTTTTTTTTTTAGAAGGGGGTTATTTACAAAAAAAAAAAAAAAAAAAATCACAGGTGACAGATGGGCTATTCTCAGTTTTAGCAATTTTGCAGGACAGCAATGTAGATAAAGCTTCAGAAGACGGAAGCACTATCTTAAATTAACATGTATACTGGTACCTCTGTTACTTAGCCCCACGTTTAAATGAGTTAGTTATAAAAATAATTTCTTTTCCTTTTCCTATAGATCTAATTTGATCTTTTTAATTTTAAGGCTTCTATCAATTATATTCCTCTTTGAATTCAGTTTAAGATGCTTTCAAAGTTTTCTTTCTATCCAAAAGCTAAAACAGTCTCTTCAAAAACAGTTGTTTGCAAATTAAATATCTTTTTGTTTCTTTATCTGTTGAATATAGTCTCTATTACTATGCCAATGATTTCAGAGCCAAGATATTCTGGGTGCAACATTTCATTAGTGATTTTGGCCTGTTGGTTGTGTGGTTTATTTTTCTTCTTTTTGGTTCATATAAAAAGGTATTCTCAGTCTACCTCACTCAATATATGAATGACCTTCATTCCTCTTTATTGTTCATTGATACACTCCACCACCTTACTGTGAATAAATCCACATACTTGGTGCCTGAAAGCCATTAAGAATGTAAAAAAACTTTCTGATGTTTGCTGCTGATACCTAGTTTGGACAGAAACTGGAAGGGGTATCTTCAGATGTACTGCAATTAAACTACTAAGAATTCAATAGTGTCTTCCTTTCATTTGTTGTAGGCACTCAATGTTCTTTAGCCTTTCAATGGTCACAAGAGCACTGCTGAGATTTGTTACCTGTGGGAATTGGGGGTGAGGAAGCACTGACCTCAATTGCAGAAAATTCATGGCCTGGCGGTCATCCTGCTGGGCAATAAGCTATCAAGTGTTCTTGTAAAAACTGCAAGGAAGTTCCACACTCATGGTCATCCAAGAAAGTAGATTGATGTGACTCAATTCAACCCAACTGTGGGGGATTCTGATCATTATTGCTGGGGTTCTTTTCTTGACTCACTTGCCTGGAAACTTCTGTTTACTCTTTCTCTTTTTTTTTTTTATCCTCACCCAAGGACACTCTTCCATTTTTTGTTCAGATAGAGTGGGAGGGGGAGAGAGAGAAACATCGACATGAAAGGGACACATCGAGTGGCTGCCACCCACAGGACCCAACCAGGGCTGAGGATAAACTGCAACCTAGGTACGTGCCCTTAGCGGGAACTCAACTTAGGTCTCTCTGGTCCACAGGCCGAAGCTCTAACCTCTGAGCCAAACTGGCCAGGGCCTATGTTTATTCTTCAGACTACTTTCCAGGTTCAAAGTTTCTGGCATTATGTTTGTCTTTGTGAATTCTCACCTGAGGATATTTTCCCATGGGTTTTTATAGAATAGAAGGGCGGGGTGGGGGGAGAGAAAGAGAAACATTGATGTGAGAGAGACACATTGGTTGGTTGCCCCCTGCACAACTCTGACCAGTGCCAGGGATCGAACCTGCAACCCATGTATATGCCTTTGACCAGAATCGAACCCTTGACCCTTAGGTCCATGGGCCAATGCCCTAACCTTTAGCAAAACTGGCTAGGGCATTAGAATTTTTCTCTCCCTCTCCTTTGGCACCCATATTCCTAAACTTTCCATTCCCATTCCTTTATGTCTCCATGTGCAAGTCCTATTTTCTTCTTGACTCTATCAAGTGCTATTTATGTTTCAGCAGGAAAGGCCTCCATTAAAATAAGACTGCAAGATTTTGTAACAAAATTTAGTTAGGCCTCCTCAGGGCAGTGATGGGCACAGCTTCAAAATTCCTGATTAGCTGATCTCTACTTTCTTTTTTCAAATCCTCACTCGAGGATATTTTTCCATTTATTTCCAGATAGAGTGGGCTGGTTTGGGTCATCCTAGGGTAAATGTCCTTTCCTGTGTTCCTCCATCCTTCCTTCCTCTCCCCTACAATTAGGCCAAATGAATTTAGGCAGCAGAGTATAAAATACTCGAATTTACACATCAAATCATACTGTATACTATTTGAAAAATAGTGATGAAAATGTATTCTTCCTAGGGTACACATGAGAGCTGTGGAGCTTTTGAATATAAAAATTTTTTCATAGTTCCTAGTATTAAAAACTCAGTACAAATTTTGAAATGCTGATAGTGATATGGTTTTTCAGTCAAGTCATTACATGTGATCTTACTCTCAATTTTAAAGAATTCTTGTTCTCTAACCTTTAAGCTATATGTTACTATGTTTATTGTTAAACTAACAGTCACTATTCCCCATCATTTTTATCAGTTATACTTCATGAACAACGTATCTTCTTTATTGGTCAGAATTACAATACCTCTTTGCTTTGTCATGCTTGAAAAATCTCTGGACCATTCAATATTGATGATAGACTGAAAAGCTCAATTTATGGGCAAAAGAGTGGATCACCTTGCTGCCAGGGGTAAATATATCTTTATTCCCTTTATTGACTATTTGTACAAAAACCAACTAATTTGGCATTCACTCAACAATATTATGTACTTTGCATTAGGCAATGCTCTAGGGTGGGGAAAGACAGAGCAATGAACAAAAAAAATTCTTTGGCTTCATAGATACTACCTGAAAAGATGCCAAGAGTAATAAAATTACTCATAAATTAGAATAATTGGTTTAGTCAGGGCAAAAATATTGTTTTCTCCTCTGGGAAACTTCATTCAGTTGCATCATGTGGGAAGAAAAATATACAACTAGGTTTTTTTTTTTTTTTGGTTTTTTGGTTCGTGCCCCTAGTGGGAACTGAATCCGGGACTCTGGTCCACGGGCCAACGCTCCAACCACTGAGCCAAACTGGCCAGGGCTACAGCTAGGTTTTAAGAGCAATTGTGAAGAATAAATATTAAATCAAAGAGCTTTCATTCGGTTTCTACTACATATTTGTTGATACTCCAGGATGTAAAATACAGTATCTTTACTCACAATGCGTCAAATCTAGGTGGAGAAATGATAAATAATAAGTCTGCTAAAGTGCCTTAGTTTCTTCAGCATAAAGAAGACTGATCTGAAAAAACAGGCTGAAGAGGGCACATGGTTAAAAAACAAAAAAAAGAGGGCACATGTTCATTATCGCCACCCAAATAAAGCATCTCTGTATCTCACCATTCCAAGGCTAATGGCAATCACATTTTTTTATGTTACTGAGACATTAGTGCCTCCTCATCTAGGAATAATGATGCCCACCATTTCTAAGTCCCTTATCTTCAAATTACATTTATGGCATTTTAGATTAAACTATCTTAGTTCCCATACTCAATTACAGCAATATGTAATTACTAGGGGAACAGATTATAGAAATCTGTCTTCCTTGATATTAAAAAAAAAATCTGATGATGAATAATTAGGCAAAAATAAGGTAGCCTATGAAAATGATAAAAATTGCTATTAACACAACCCTTAGATGGAATAAAAGAAATGAACTCTAATCTGATCAGAGGAATCTGGGAAAACCCTGATGAAAAAAGTTGACAAGTTCAGCCTTAACACACAAGCAGAGGAGCAGGGACAGGAAGAGTAGGGAAGGCAGAAGGAAGTGTAAGTATCAAGAGGAGGATGTGTTCAATAGTTTGGCTGGAGACTAATCTAGACAGGGTGCTGAATGGGGCGCTTATTTTACAACCCTAGAGTATACTTGTTTGTTGGACACAGTTAGTGGAAATATAGAAACTGCAAATAGTTTAAATCTTTACCTTGGCAAATAATGGCTCCTTTCAGTTCAAATGTCTTCTTGGAGGCTCTTCCTCACATTCCTGGCATTACTGCCCTACGTATCTTCTTTAGGACTGAAAATCTCTACTGGAAAAGCAGGTATTCCACATGAGTGAGTTTTAAGTTTTATTCATGTGTTGAGATACTCTGTTATAACAAATACAGTTTATTGTGCATATACCAAGCACTAAAGCAGGCTTATTTTTAATTCTCAGACTGACCAGTCAAGGAGGAGTACTTTGCCCTCATTTAATAGTTGAGGAATTGGGGCTTAGGCAGCTCAATGGACTCATCTAAGATTATAAAATTAGAGTTCACATTTTAAGTTCTGCTGATTAAAAAACCCAATCCTTTTACTCTGGTGGTTTTTAACCAGTGGCATGCATTTCAATTACCTGAACAATTTTAAAAATAAAATTTATTTTTTAATCCAAAAAATATATAAAGTCAAAATAATACTGTTAGACTGGTAGTGGAAAACAGCCATCTTCTACCTTCTCTCTTCCCATTCCTGATTTTTTTTTCCCTCCAGACAACCACTTTTAACTCTTCACTATTTCTTATTACAGTTTTTAAAAATGTTTTTCCCTTTATTGATGTTAGAGAGGAGGGGAGAGGCAGAGATATAGAAACACTAACTGACTGCCTCTTGCATGCCCCTCACTGAGGATTTTGCCCGCAACTTGGGACATGTGCCCTGACTGGAATCGAACTAGCAAACTCTTGGTGCATAGGCTGACGCTCAACCACTGAGCCACACTGATGGGGCAAATTTTTTTTTCCTACTTATCTTCAGATAGAGTGGAGGGAGAGAGAGGGAAAGAAATATCGATGTGAGAGAGACATTGCCTCCCACACAACCATGACCAGGTCTGGGGACGAACCGCAACCGAGCTACATGCCCTTGTCTGAAATGGAACCCAGGACTCATTGGTCCAAGGGCCTATGCTCTAACTGCTGAGCCAAACCGGCCAGGGCTTATTGCAGTTTTTTAAAATAACATGTTCAACACTTTAAAAAAAAAATTGATTCTCCCCCATTACAAACACGTCTCCAGCCCCCACAATGTTACATAATCATTTGTTATATCCATATGCAGTATTCACATAATTATGACTGACTTTATGACTGGTATTATTTACAGTTGAGGTATGCAGTGTAGATCTTGAAAATTTTTAAATTTTTCCTGGGATTCATAATTACCTCAGCTTTTTCATATTAAAAAAAAAAAAAAATCTGCTGACTACTAATTCATCTCCAGACTCACTGAAACACTAAACATCTTCTGACTCTATAATCAAACATACCAGGTATTCTCAGTTTTTCCACCTGACCCTCCATCTTTCAGGCATTTATTGACCTGCTGTTCTCTACCGCTCCCCTCCTTGTTTAAAATAGTTACATTGTTACTTTAGCTACTTTTTGGCTACTCTCTAATAAAATGTCTTTTTCCCCTATCAATAAGATTGTATCTTTCAACTTCCCACTTTATAAAAGGACTGCAGTATTATTTCATTTACCTCCCTCTCCTCCCTTCAACATCCCCATCTGAAAACTGTACTTTTACATTATCAAGAGTGACATTTGTATTCTACTTTGTAACCAAAATTAAGTGTTCTCTTAAAAGAAAAAGACGATAAACAGCATTTACATAAATTATCATAATTATTTAAATGTTACTCATTAAATAGCCAAGCTTTGTGCTGTAACTGGATTTCCTTGTCTTTGGTGCCAAGGTCTTGAACCGTTCTATTCAAAGGGGCTTTGGAACAGAGTCCACTTTCTTACACTTCAAGCCTGTTTAAAGTCCTGCAGCATTTTACATTGTTTGATAGTTGAAGGATGCTTTTCCTGTACAGTTTTTTTTTTTCCTCACTGAAAAGTTCTGATTTGTCATTGTTTTTTCTTGAGGGATGAAGAAATATATGCCTTCTGCATCATATCCTTAAGATCTTCAGCTTCTTATTCAATATCTCGCTTACAATTCAATCCAATATTCCCGAAATTTCTTATTTTAATCCAAACCATTAATTTGTATTTTACATTTCCTTCCTGAAAAACTTATTAGCCTTCTTTTTAAATTTTTTAAATTATGCATCCTGTTCGTCCTCATTTTGTTTTAAGGACTCACAACTTCTTAAACACTGTCGTGGGCCTTAAGTGAATTCTTCAAGGTTGCTGAAACATCCCACTCGTCCTCTCCAGTCACAGCAGGGTTTCTGAGTCCCCGAGCGCGGCGAAGAGCGGTGCGCGCAGCCGCGGAGGGCGCCCAGCACTCTCGCGAGACTGAGGAGGCGCTCAGCTGCGGCTCCGCTCCGCCGCCAGGCCTCCTGGGAGTCCGCCATTGCGCTGGCCCAGACCGTTAGCGTAATCACGGCTCTAAAAATGTACCTGCAAGCGGATGTTGAGGATCACGGAGCCCGCAACGTAGAAGTACGGGAAATTCGTGCGCAGCTGCCAGGCCAGCTCGAAGAAGGCGAGCAGGGTGCGGGAGAGCCCTTTGCAGAATACCCCGTACGAGCTGGGGGCCGCGGCCGTGCTCGAGACCCCGAGGGCTAAGGAAGACGGAGCCACCACGATGGCCATGGCCATGGTCCTGGTGTCGCCGCTCACTCAGTGCTTGGTGTCGAGGGTCACGGCAGGCCCCGCAGACCCCGACCGGCGGCCCGGACGGTGAGGGGCTGGGGCACTAACCGTTCGCAGTGCTTCCTCTGCGCCTCCGGTTGCGGCCGCTTCCTCCGGCGCGGCGCTCAAGCCCTGGCAGCGTTTGGGGCTCCGCCCCTTCCTGTTTGCAGTAAGCTTTAGGGTTAACACGTGAGGTTGTTTATATTTATGACACATGCGTTATTTTTATAACATTTATGGACAGCCATAGAGATATAATTTTCACTTTAAAATGGAAGTAAGCATAAAAGGGGGAATATAAGAAAGTAAATATGTCAGGAATGTTTGGGGAGTCTAAAAAACATCTATCCTATATTCTCCGTTGAACTGTCTTGTATTCTAAAACATATCCCTGGAATCGAATTTTTCCTGAATGTCTAGAAATTAATATATACATATTTGTAACTATAATTTACGGTGTATTTATAGTTTTACAACGTTATAATAAAATCAATGCAGTTTTTAATGTGCTGAATGCCACCTGAATAGTATTAACAAACTATTGTCCTTCAAAACTTGTCCATTAACTGCACTTTCACTTATTGTTACTTACAGAAAAGGTTGCTCCTAAATGAGGAAAACTTGAAAAGTTGGGTAATCCTGGGGGTAGGGGTGGGAGGAGAGACTGACTGAGGACCAATAGACAAAATTTCTGTTACAAAATATTACTGTTTTTAGAATCCAACAATATTCATTTCCTTACTTCCTTTTTTGCTATAGCGCTTCCATCTTTCTTTACTTCTTTCCACTAGAGGTGAACTCCCTGTAGTAACATCTGAAAAGTAAAACGTGAAGGTTGTCTTCTTATGCTCTAATAGGTTTTTATTTTTCAGGTTTTCCCCTGTAGAGAGTTAATGAGGTATTTTTGTTAACTTCATTTGCAGTTATAAAGAAGCATTCCCTTACTTTGACCTAGAGAATGTTAAAAGGGGAGGCACTCTGTCTTTAAATTTATATGGATGGATATAGTAATATTGTTGAGAAAAATAAAAATAGATGTAACTTAAAAATTCCAATCATGGCCAGTCTGTAAACCATTCATCAGGAAATATTTTAAAATATTTTAAAAATTTAATCAATTTTCTCAGAAATTGTTTTGCCACACTTTATATCTAGTGAATTACCCTAGGTATACGGCAAGACAAAAATAACGTATTGTACATATTTACTTAATTAAGCATTTTACATCTATTATACTTTGTCAGTGCACACATCCTTCTTGCATGCAATATTGAATATTTATATGGCAAACATCTTGACCTAATATAATAATATAATAAAAAACATCAGATTAAAAAAAAGGAACTATATTAAATTATAGCTTGATTGGTTACAGAAATTGACATCTGTTTTTGTTTGTTTTTTAGGTCTTCATATAGCAAACAGGAAGTTGAATTCCCCCCCTTCCCCCATTCATGAACAGGCAGCATTAGAAGAAAAAGACAGTATCCTTACTCTTCCTTAGGTAATAATATTATTTTAATGGTAGTAGTTGGCAACCTTTTTTTGAGCTTCTACAATGTGTAAGGCCTTTATTTAGGGATAAAGATTTTCCCAGTAAAGCCTCTAAACAATCCCCCCTCAAAGCATTTATTATTTGTCTTTATGTAATAGATACAAAATTTAGAGGCATAGATGGCTAAAATAACTTCAAGGCTACCAGAGCTGTACCTAAAAACAAAAACAAAAAGAAAACCATGTCTAAAATGGTTATTTTTTGAAATGTTAGATACACATTTTAAGACTATATAATTTTAAAACAGGACATATATACATATGACTAAACATCATGGCTGACACAGACCAAGTTTACACTGGTAAGCTTTTGAGAATCCTTTAATATGCTGAGAGTAGTACTGGTGCAGGCAGACAGAGTAAGAATAAATAATAAAATGGCTTTGGAGAGAGCAGTAGTGATCAATAGGCTTGGTAACAAAGGAATCTTGTGGGCATTATAGCAGGAACAACTCCTCAGTACTGATGTGCAGAGTTCCATATCTCCACAACTCACCCAAACAGCTTCCCAACTTGGTTGGCAACTGCAGGTGGCATACTGGACACAGGGATGGCGGCACTGAACCTAGAGAAAAACTGAAGAAATGAGTTCAGACAAGCATATATGTTTATACACCCATATCCCCACAAAGAACATTGATCTAACCATAGCCAAAGGGTCTAAATATGGTTGTAAATACGGTATTAGTTGACCAAAGAATGAGGTCAGGAGACTCCATAATCTGTAATACCACAATGATAGAGTGAAATTTACATGGATGCCCCATTACAGAAAGAACCAACAGGCTGTACTTTAGACAGTGTAGACAAAGAATACTGATTTCACCAATATGATTGCACTTATTTGCTAGACTAGATTCCGTATGGTTCCTGTTTCTTTGCCTATTTGATAGAGCACAGACCATATTCCTACATATAATTTCAAGGACTCCTGGGAAAGTGAATGTCTCAAATCACCCCCTCCACCCCCACCCCCTAGAATTGATGTGGTAGACAGCCTTGAGTTGGTTTCTAATGATTCTGCTTCCTGGTGTTCATGCCCTTATACGTAATCTTGAGTATGAACTGGACATAGTAACTTCTAATGAACAAAATACAGCAGATGTGAAGGAGTGTCATATTAAGTCATAACTATTAAGTGCTTCTTAACAGCTGAATTATGGCCCCCCTCCATATTCATGTCAAAGCCCTAGTTCCCAGTACCTTAGAATGTGACTATTTGGAGACATGGCTTTTTAGAGGTAATTAAGTTAAAATGGTGTTACTAGGGTGGGCCCTAATCTGATATGATAGGTGTCCTTGTAAGAAGAAGAAATTAGGACACAGACAACACAAAGAGAATAAAATATGTGAGGACACAATGAGAAGGTGGCCATTTGCAAGCCAAGGAGAGAGGCCTCTGCAGGGAAGAAGCTTGCTGACACCTTGACTATGCCTTCTAGTTTCCACAATTGTGAGAAAATAAATTTCTGTTTTTTAAGGCACCAAGTCTATGGTATTTTGTTATGCCAGCCCTAGCAAACTAATATAGTGCCCTCTTTTGCTCTTTGTTTCATCACTCTGATGGAAGCCAGCTGCCATATTGTGAGCTGTCCCTTGGAGAGAACCATGTGGAAAGAAACTTATTCTCTGGCCAACAGCCAGTGAATACCTGAAGCCTGCCAACAGCCAACTAGAGCTTGGAAGCAACAGTCAAGTTGAGCCTTGAGATGACTGCAATTCTGCTGATTCTTTGAGTTCAGCCCTTTAGAGAACTTCAACCAGGGCCATGTACCTAAGTTGTGCCTAGATTCCTGACCCACAGGAATGGTGAGATAATAAATACTTGTTTTAAGCTCCCAAAGTTTGGGGGTAATTTGTTATACAACAATACATAATATAGTGAAGATAGATCTCACAACATGTGCTTATTAGGGTCAAACCAAAGAAACAGAACCACAGGATTTATTGCTGGAAATTACCTTTATGGTTGTGGAGGCTGACTGTTCAGCCTTTTTCTGCAAGGCGATGAATGTTTGAGCCCAAATCCAACAGTCTGGTAATTAGGAAGGGAAGGTAATGAATAGACTAGCACCCTATAAGCATGAGCTAGAATCCCACAAGGATGGACTGAATCATGCCTGTTTTTGTTGCTGCTGACATTGGTGACTAGGGTGTCCTGCAGAAGCCGGGGCCATTTGTCATGAAACTGAACATACACAGCAGGTCCAGGAGTTAACAGAAACTGAAGTGGATCCAGAGAGCAGGGAGAGTAGTTGCAGACACAGCCGCTGCTTTATGTCAATAAGGCGAATCAGCAGATCAACAACAAAATTAGTGCTGAAATTCCAAATGTAAAAATGTTTTGCTCATTTCTGTTTACTTCTGCAGCTTGGAGTCTCAACCTCCGGGAAGGCCCAGTGCCTCCTTAAAATGCTTCTAACCTGATTTAACTCGGGTCCATCCTGGATAACATCCCTTCTAACTCAAAATCAACTGATTTGAGATCTAATTACATTTGCAAAGCCCTTTCCAGCATACCTCAACTAGTGTTTGGATAACTGGGAAAAGGTGTGAGTATGCTACAAATTGGCTGCTGCTTCCCTTCCGCCCTTCAGCTCTCCTGAAAGAATCTCCCTTGTAAGATGACTTAAGCAGGAACATACTAGAAAGGGAATTCTAGAGAATGCAGTTCGTCCTAGCCTAATTGGCACATCAAAAAGCCATTTTGGTGACTTTTATAATTTCTCAGGAGACTGGGAAAATATTTCAATTTTTCTAAAATGAGAGGTCTAATAAAGCATGGTTCCAGGACTCAGTTCTTGGGTGACTTAAAATAACAATTGTTCAATATACTTTGCTTCTTCATTCCAACACTCACCTTTTACTCTACATTTAAAAATTTACAAAAAAATATCTGCTCCCATCTAACAAAAGAAATCCCTTGCCATATTAGGTGTTTATTTCGCACTACAGATCACCTCAAGACTTAGTGGCTTAAAACAGCAGTAATCACTGTGATCTCTCATGGTTCCTAAGAGTCAGGAATTCAGGAATGACTCAGTTGGGTGGTTTGGCTCTGCGTCTCTTATGAGGTTGCAGTCAAACTAGTTGGGGGCATCTTGAAGGCTTCTTCTAAGTGCCTGCACTAGGAAGACTCAAATAGCTGGAGACTGGATAACCTTAGGCATCTCAATTCTATTCTCCACATGGTATCCTTAGCATTGTGACTGAGGGTTCCAAAGGTAAATGTCCCAAGGAGAATCAGCTTTTAAATCTAGTCTAGGATGTTGCCCAGTGTCACTTTCATGACATACTGTTGCATTCAAAATAATTTGAGAAGCAAAGAAAGCATCAGCAGGCAAGATGTGTTTAAGATAAACAGAGGGCTACAGCTCGCTCAGGCATGTAGAAATGATTTAATGATCATCATGGCTTTTATTACAGTGTTTAATAATTACATCTGAAGAGTATGTGGGTAGCTACATGAGAACAAACAATACTTAGCAAGCAATGGCTAATATGTTAATACCTAACCTTTGACTATATGCACAGACAATGCATGGCAAGCAAAGATTAACTCTGTGTTAAC